ATTAAGAGTCTCTTTCGACGGACTTCTACATGACGCTCCTCTGAAGTCCTGACAACTGATACCTTCTTCGAGTGGCACTTAGAAGTAGGTGTGATGAACAACGGGAACAGTTCTATAGACACGTAACTTCTTTATTATGAATATGAGCTCATATTAATAATAAGGGACCGTTCATAACTTATGGCAAGGGAGGAGGAGGAGGAGTTTTATGCAGAAGCATGTACAATGTGAATGCCCACCCCCAAAAAAAAAAAAAAAAAAATTACTTTCAAATTAAGTAACACCCCCCTGCATATCATGTACAAAATCAATGACCTCCCCCGTCCCCTTGCCATACTTTTAAAATACTGTTATGTACAAAATTGCTGCCCCCCCACCTTATAAAATCATCATCACTCCCTAAAGGTCCCTAAAGATGTTATACATCCATAGAACTCTTCCCCCGTTGACAACTTATAGTTTAATAATTTTTACATGTTCCCTGGTACCGTCTGACTGACGCAGCTGAAATTTGGCAAGCAAATTTGATTTGTTTTTATGAAGACTTCGTATTTTGTTCAAATCAACATGATTTCGAGTCTTTGTTTTTCGTAAAAAATACTCACATTTTACAAAGTGAACTTTCATTTGATAAATTATTCATAAATCAGGTGAGCTACAGAGCCTTAATATTGTGGCTCAGTTTTACACTGAGGTGCTTATTACATATTTACAAAGACACGGTGCAATTAAAGTGGTTGTACCTTATTCATACAAAAACATGACGCACTTTTGTGGTGCCTCATTCACAAACAAACCATGAACCACTTTCGAAGTTTAACAACAACAAAAACAACAACGACAACACTGTACGCCATTGTGGTAGTGTCTTATTCACAAAAACACTGTGCTCCATTGTGGTAATACTTCATTCCCTATCACACCAAGCCCTATTGTGGTAGTGCATTATTCACAAACTCACAATAACCCATCATGGTAGCGACTTATTCACAAACATATCTCGTTGTGATCGTGCCTTATTTGTAAACACACCGTGATCTACTGTAGTTGACACGCATATCAATTTTAAGGTTAATGCATCGGTGTCCGTTTCATTAGGACTATCAACAAAGAACCACATCTTCATACGGTAATCAGAGAACAATTACCCTCCGTGACACAGGGCAGGTGTGTAAGTATGAGATATCTCCAGTACAACCAGAAATTATTGAGAATTTAAAGATTGTAATTTTTTTTTTCACTCATTACTCACGTATTAAATGTGAATATTAGCAGAACATAACTCCAGATTCAAAGACAGGTGAACAGTTAGTATTTTGTCAAGTCACCATGGGCAGCAATGCAGGCTTCAATGCGGCGGGGCATCTTACTGATCAAAGAAGTCAGAAAGTCGTGGTCCATGCTGTCCCAATATCTGACCACTTCTTCTTTCATTTCAGCAATATTTTTCAGATTTTTCTTATTGACCCTTTCCTTCATAAGTCCCCAAACATTTTCCATTGGATTTAGGTCAGGGCTATAGCTTGGCCAATCTAATAATGTCATATTTTGGGTCCGAAACCAGGCCTGTGAATGCTTTGAACGATGTTTTGGATCGTTGTCCTGCTGGAAAATCCAAAAATTCCATAGAACACGTGAGCAGATGGAAGTAAATGTCCCTCAAGAATATCTGTGTACCGCTCACTGTTCATATTCCCTTCAAATACATAGAGGGGCGTTGCCCCTAACACAGATATGCCACCCCACACATACAATTTCGGACTGTATACTTTGGGCGCTGATACAAAGGTTTTTCAATTTGTTTGGTCCAGAATTTCAGTGTATTAGGAAACAGCCACACAGAACTTTCATCTGAGAAAATCACATTGTCCCAGTTAAAATTTCTATGCTGTAAGCACCAGTTCAACCTTCGCTCCTTTTGTTCAGGTTTCATGATCGGTGATGGAATTCCTCGACTTTTCTGCCAACCCATTGCATGCAGCTCAGTTCTAATTGTCTGCTTACAGACAGCCACAGTTCCTCTATCAATCATATCCAACCTTAAGTTTTCTTAACTCCTTCGTTTGTTTTTAGAAACAAGAATACCAAGCCGCCTCCTGTCACCGACAGTCAATTTTCTGGGCCTACCTGCGCCTCCCTGGTGCTCAGTGCCATATCCATTTGCAATATTTTTCAAAACACGATAAACAGTGGACAAAGGGATGCCTGTTCTACTTGAAATCACTTTAGCTGATCTGATGTCCTTGTTATAATACTCTAAAATCAACTTCCTCTTCTCTAAATCATCCATACTGAGGATCACTGAAAATGTCGTCTGCTAGCAAGTAAACAATGGGGGATAACACTTCACAAACTAATGGAAAAGGATTAACGGAGTTCTCTCTCTTGAATGAAACAAGCACTTGATAGCTGGTCAAAGTTGTTTATACTAGAAATCCACTTAAACATATTCCTAAAATTCTCAATAATTTCTGGTCATACTATATATACTGTAAACACGATGCATGGTGCATTATTTCCAGGATCAGTAGGATGGGATTCCTGGGCGCCCTGGTCCGCCTGCAGCAAGGCGTGCGGGGGTGGGACAATGATCCGACTTAGGCACTGTCATGTCACCAAGTGTGTGGGACCCAGCATGCAACCGGAAGTGTGTAACACACAGCCATGTTGATCAGCAACCGGAGAGAATGGAACATCGGTAAAGTGCCAGGTTATCAAAGGAACTGACCGCTGGATTAGCCGGAAGAAGCATACCTGTCCGAGGTGAATGTGGAGTTCAGTGCTTTAGTGGCTAATCTTCCTTCAGAGAGAAGAACCTCACCTTTCTCGTGCCATATATCAAACCTGTAAAGCACATCTGTATATATACTTCTTTCTAGTCATGATATACATCCATGCAATAAACAGCCATCTACTCACAAATGTGTTTATCAGTTCATGGTCAACCCGAAAGCACAGTTTTCTTTTCTCAATGTAGACCGCCTAGGTAGATAGATCCCTCTTGGTGAGTGGAAGTTCCTTGTTCGATCCCCTGGTTGCGTCGTACTAAAACTCGTTAAAATATGGTACTTGTTATTGCCCTGCCTGGCGATCGGCATTTCGGGGATACAACAAGGACTGATTTGTTCGGAATCAACAATGTGTGTATATCCATGCAGGGCTGATGAACAGTATCTCAGAGGGCCAGCACTACTGTCGCAATAACAGCCCCAATGATCGCGACGAACATCAAGGGAGCTGTCTCTTGCAAAGCACATTTCTGAAGTGCACCAATGCTAACTAAACGTTTAATTATTTCAAATGAATGCTTGGCCTGCACTTAGGGTTGTACTTTCACACAGAGTGGGTACAAAGTTTGGTGGCACTGAGATATATCACAATTCTACAGAGTGGGATAGACCTGTGCCCCGTTCCTCAAAGCGATCGTAGCGCTAAGATGATCTTTACTCCCATACTTTAACATAGACTTACGGCTGTCGTAGCGCTACGATCGCTTTGAGGAACGGGGCCCTGTAGATAAAGGGTTTACTCGTCAAGTAGAAGGCCCGATTGTGAATCATATCCCAGGTTTCCCCGCATTAGTGTTACATGTAGTGAAATATTGCCAGAGGCAGTAAAAATCGTTCACTCACTCACAGCCCATCCGTTCTTTTCATACTTTAACTGAAGTTACCACTGTCGACGGTATATGCCGAGCTCCAGATAATGTTTCAACATCAGGAGTACGTACTCCTTATTTTTTCAATATAGGAGTACTGGAAAACTTAAGAGTACATTTAGAGTACTGAGAGGAATTTAATGGCGGATCAGTAATGTTTTGTTTCGTTTCATATATGCACCACAGCATTGCTGCTCTTGTGTAAACAGGTCAATAAACAATAAAACAATACTTGTTCAGATAAATACGTATGTAAATGATTCTAAGACCGTACAGCAATGCTGTGGTGCGTTTGTGCTACGTTTTCTAAAGTATTTCCTACCGTATCGTGCATATTTTTTTCCATACGTACATACGCCGATACGGCCCTTATCTGGAGTATATGTGTTCCAACCCAATTCTGATTTGTTTTAGTAAATTTGTGAAATGATTTTTTCAAATTTGGAGTGATTTGAGAATCTCAGGCTTTCTACCCGTGTTCTTTAATATAGGCTGTGAATACACAATGTCATTTTGAAAGTGATCAAATGTAACACATGTTATTATTTTGGATTACACCTTCTCGGTAAAGTACAGATTCTAGTACTTTTGTTGGGTTGAGTTCCGTCCGGGCCGTGGAAACCGTGTCAATTTACACATATCAGAGGGGTACGCAATGTCCGTGATCAAGACTACCAGTTGTCCATGCGGTGGCTGAATGGGTTAGATGGCTGTGTGCCTGACTCTGAGTGTGTAGGTTCGACTCCCTGACAGGACTCAACCCATCACAAGTGGTAGAATCTGTATTTAACCGTGGAAGTATAATCCAAGGTATAACACGTGTTAGCATAGACTGGTTTCAATCTTTTTTAAACTAACAGTTGAAACTTTAATAAATCGTTGAACACCTTGAATATCTTGTATTTGACAACTAGGAGGAATACCAGCATGCAATAACTGCATAGGATAGGAATGTTTATTAACAATATAGATTATGACCGATAAATAAAATACTTTTGAAAAAGTGTCATTACAAGTTGGTAACAAATCACATGAGAAAAAGTTTCCCATCCCACACATGTATAACAAATAGAGAATGTTTAATATAAATATATAAAACATTAAAATCAGGCACATTTCAGAAGAACAGTACATAATACACAGGTGTATATCTGACGTGTGGGTCTTGTGTCTATATCCATCCTCTAACCTTCATTATAAGTCAATACCATTGAAGATCCGGGTTGGAATTGATCTTCAGTAATCCATGCCTGTCGTAAGAGGCGACTAACGGGATCGGTGGTCAGGCTCGCTGACTTGGTTGACACATGTCATCATATCCCAATTGCGTAGATAGATGCTCATGCTGTTGATGACTTGATTATCTGGTCCAGACTTGTTTATTTACAGACCGTTGCCATTTAGCTGGAATATTGCTGACTGCGGCGTAAAACTATACTAATTCACTCACTCATCATATATGAAACAGGAACTCCTCTGGGCGTTTGTTACCCATCTTCAGTGACGTGTGCATACCCACGTGGTAGAACAAGTTCGGCTCCAACTGAAACGCCGGAATGCCCGTGGTCCGCGTGAAGTCGTAGATGGTAAGGTCGGTGTGGGTGCCGGGAGTTGCGGTAGCCATGTGAGACACAAGGGCCCCCACAATGTGGGCGGGGTAAAGCATGGCTTGTGTACAGCACCCCGGAGAGGGACGGAACTGATACAAGTGTTTTGACACTCTCCTCAGGTCAAGGACGTTTTGTCGGCCAACTGCAATGGCAGTAAACATCGTGAAGACCAACCCTATGAGGAAATACCACCCATACTGTTTCACCATCACTCTTCCCCGAACCACAAATGTAGATATGTACAGGATGAAGACAAAACAGCCCCCACCAACACAACCAATACTTAAGAGGTCAAGAAGACGAGTCGACTCATTCGCGAAGCCTTGCCACCTCTGAGGGTAGTACAGTTTTAGATAAGCGAAACTCTTATTTTGCTGCTGATCTGCATTTGAGCCAAAGTGGTTATCTAGCGTGTAGTGCAGCACTGGGGCGAGGTCTTTGTGGGCGACAGCATCATCTTCAACCATCATTATATACCTGGATCCAAGGGACTGGGCAACTCGCATGCAGTACGTATAGTCATACGTCTCTTTATCGTACACATCTTTGTGAAGTATTTGTTTATAGGTGAGTGTATTGTTGTTGGGGACATTAAAGTCTCGTGCGTGGAAGTTTGAAGATCCATATCGCTCTGTAAATGGGAGATATTCCTTGAGATCTACAGCGTCTTTGTGCGAGAGAGGTTTCAAATCAACGTTACAGACAAATACAAACGTCCTGCCCATAAATTCCACACTTTTCGCGAATTGGTCTAGAGCTGCAGCAGATTGTAAAAGGTATTCCATGGTTAGGTTGGCATCATCACTTCCAGTCCTCTTCACTGTCAGAAGGGCCACAGCCAGGAACAACTGGTTGCCGTTTCCTAGCATGGACGCGTAGTACCCAGGGTTGTCTGTGTAAGTGTTCTCTATGTAGCGTCGGGCCCTTTTCACCCTGTCTCTGTTCAGTAAAACAGCTTGTTTGGATGCTTCGGTTCTCCCTGTTGTCAGTTTGAAGTAGACAGAGAAGGGCATGTCGTGGCAGATTAGCGGCAGCAGCACCAGGAACTGCAGGGAGAAGATGACTATCAAGGTACCAATGTGTCCTCTCTTGATGGGGCAAAGACGAAGCATCATTGGCAGTCGCCACATGCTTCTGATTGGCGGAGCCTTCACACCAGATGGTCTGCTAACAGTGTCACACACGTAGGTCTGCAGACAGTTTCACACACGTAGGTCTGCAGACAGTTTCACACGTAGGTTTGCAGACAATGTCACGCACATAGGTCTGTAGACAGTTTCACACAAGTAGGTCTGCAGAGAGTTTCACACAGGTAGGTCTGCAGACAGTGTCACACATGCGTCACATAAGCCACTTTTCACACAATTAGGTCTGCAGACAGTGTCACACAAGTAGGTCTGCAGACAGTGTCACGCAGGTAGGTCTGCAGACAGTGTCACGCATGCATCATATAGACCACCCATTTTACAAGTAGGTCTGCAGACAGTGTCACACAAGTAGGTCTGCAGACAGTGTCACACTGCAGGTAGGTCTGCAGACAGTGTCACACATGCGTCATATAGGCCACCCATCATACAAGTAGGTCTGAACCAGCTGGAAGAGAAAAATGGTTTAATGAAGGATATTCATGAGATTTTGTGTGATTCTATAAGTTCTCTGGAGTAAAGTTTAGAAACAGACCAAAGTGTTGTACAAACTACGAAAATCTTAAATGTTGTGAGAGTGGTCAAACGTTCACACACGTGGGTTGGGATCTAATGTCATAAACTGATAATCAATGTTACATGTTGCGAGAGCGATCAAACAATCACACACGTGGATTAGGAACTAATGTCATAAACTGATAATCAATGTTATGTTGCGAGAGCGATCAAACAATCATACACGTGGATTAGGAACTAATGTCATAAACTGATAATCAATGTCACATGTTGCGAGAGCGATCAAACAATCACACACGTGGATTGGGAACTAATGTCATAAACTGATAATCAATGTTACATGTTGCGAGAGCGATCAAACAATCACACACGTGGATTGGGAACTAATGTCATAAACTGATAATCAATGTTACATGTTGCGAGAGCGATCAAACAATCACACACGTGGATTGGGAACTAATGTCATAAACTGATAATCAATGTCACATGTTGCGAGAGCGATCAAACAATCACACACGTGGATTGGGAACTAATGTCATAAACTGATAATCAATGTTACATGTTGCGAGAGCGATCAAACAATCACACACGTGGATTGGGAACTAATGTCATAAACTGATAATCAATGTTACATGTTGCGAGAGCGATCAAACAATCACACACGTGGATTGGGAACTAATGTCATAAACTGATAATCAATGTTACATGTTGCGAGAGCGATCAAACAATCACACACGTGGATTGGGAACTAATGTCATAAACTGATAATCAATGTTACATGTTGCGAGAGCGATCAAACAATCACACACGTGGATTGGAAACTAATGTCATAAACTGATAATCAATGTTACATGTTGCGAGAGCGATCAAACAATCACACACGTGGATTGGGAACTAATGTCATAAACTGATAATCAATGTCACATGTTGCGAGAGCGATCAAACAATCACACACGTGGATTGGGAACTAATGTCATAAACTGATAATCAATGTTACATGTTGCGAGAGCGATCAAACAATCACACACGTGGATTGGGAACTAATGTCATAAACTGATAATCAATGTTACATGTTGCGAGAGCGATCAAACAATCACACACGTGGATTGGGAACTAATGTCATAAACTGATAATCAATGTTACATGTTGCGAGAGCGATCAAACAATCACACACGTGGATTGGGAACTAATGTCATAAACTGATAATCAATGTTACATGTTGCGAGAGCGATCAAACAATCACACACGTGGATTGGGACCTGACTGTCATAAACTGATAGACAATGTCACATGACATTCGCATACATCATATAGATCTCCCATTACCGCATGTATGTATCACAGATAACATGTCACAGAAGTTCTGAATGACACAGATGCGTCGGAACGGTATATATCACCTCTGCTATTTTCGCCTTCAGTTCGGCCATCTTCATCCAGCCAAAGGAAATCCTACTGAAGCCGATTTCATCCACCTAGAACATAACATCACCATCGGTTAAATACACACATACACTGTCACTATCAAAATATTGTCTGTGTATGAAATAATTGAACTGTTTATCTCATATTGATGATGAGAAAACCAGAACTGGTCGTATCCATAAGTAGCGCACATTATATATGACTATCCTATATATGACTATCCTACCTGTATGACGTCAGTTAAGCGCATGGTAGTTAGATACGGGATAAGCTCACATGTGCTGACGCTGGCGGTGTGGGTGACTGTGTCAACAACTTTCACAGGCAACAGCCTAATGTATGGATAACTCAAAATCGCTTTTTCGATCGGGACAGGTGTTGCGTCATGGGTTTTCATAAATCACTCCTTCATCTACCACTGCTCCACACACAATGCCCTCACACTGAACGAAGTTTAAAGCATTTAAATGACAATACTTAACTTCTCACAAGTAAGTTTAAGTCGCCCCACTTGCCTGCGCTTTGGAAAAGACAACACATCAAAACACACCGTGTTTACAAAGAACCGTGTGAATTCACATTGTGTGACGACATACTATAATTCCAATAGGTGTATTTCTAACGCCAAATACACCAATGTCTGTTATGTCATCTCGTCCTAATTCAACTGCAATGTAGAGTAACCCCATACATCATGTCGTGGTGTAGATCGTCAGATGTCTTTAACGTTGACGACGTCCCTGCTTTTACTGACTGTCAGTTTCAGGGTTACTTGAAACACCAAAGGTGTTTTACACGACCAAGGTAAATTACTTGTACTTACTGTGAAGGCGTGGCTGTCCCGCGGACATTTGTCGCCTGTCAGGGGCAGATAACCCTTTTGTTTGTCCAGCAGTGACGTTCAGTAAACAGAGATGATCGATTGGGGTTTGCCTCTGAATCAGGCGTGAGATCAACAAGCTCTCCTGTTTACAGGAAATAATGTACTTTGTAAGATACAGAATAAAATATACATCTCTATCAATCGCAGATAGAGGAAGTTGAGTATTTTGAAGTCTAATTTAGTCGATTTCTGTGTTATCAATCTCATTTAGTGAGAAATAGGCAAAATCTGTAGGTAAAATCCTCCCGCGTTTCCAACAATTTAGCTGTGCTAAGCTAGGGAAGTCTCTGTGTGTTCATACTCCGGGGACCCCGATATACTACCATCATCTTTGGAGTGCACCTTGTCTGCCGTCAAGATACACCTGTGACCCCGATATACTGCCATCATCTTTGGAGTGCACCTGTCTACCTTCTATTTACATCTTTGGAGTGCACCTGACCCTTCTATTTACGATATACTGCCATCATCTTTGGAGTGCACCTGTCTACCTTCTATTTACACCTGTGACCCCGATATACTGCCATCATCTTTGGAGTGCACCTGTCTACCTTCTATTTACACCTGTGACCCCGATATACTGCCATCATCTTTGGAGTGCACCTGTCTACCTTCTATTTACACATGTGACCCCGATATACTGCCATCATCTTTGGAGTGCACCTGTCTACCTCCTATTTACACCTGTGACCCCGATATACTGCCATCATCTTTGGAGTGCACTTGTCTACCTTCTATTTACACCCGTGACCCCGATATATTGCCATCAGCCTTTGGGTGCACCTGTCTACCGCTCTATATACATGCACCGTTACATGACTCCGTTATACTGCCATTAGTCTTATAGTGCACTTTGTCTACCTTTTATGTACACCTGTGACCCCGATATACTGCCATCATCCTTGGTGTGCATCTGGCCACCTTTCTCTTCCCACCTGTGACCCGATATACTACCATTACACTTGGAGTGCACCTGTCTACCGCTGTATGTACATGTTCCCGCGACCCCGTTATACTGCCATTAGTCTTAAAGTGCACTTTGTCTACCTTTGTTACACCTGTGACCCCGATATACTGCCATTAGTCTTAAAGTGCACTTTGTCTACCTTTGTTACACCTGTGACCCTGATAAGCCCCTATTAGTCTTGAACTTGCTTCAGTCTGCCTCTCTTGGTAAAACCGTGACCCCTTCTATCTGTATTGAAGTTCCCGAGGTATAATTCTAATGTCTTTCAAAGTGTCTGTCCATGTCTGCCCTGTCCATGTGTCCGAACTGTCTATTCACGATCGCCTGCCCCCACGAGCTCAGGGGCGGTGGGGTAGCCTAGTGGTTAAGGCGTTCGCTCGTCACCCCGAAGACCGGGGTCGGTTCCCCACATGGGCACAATATGTGAAGCCCATTTCTGGTGTCCCCGCCGTGATATTGCTGGAATATTGCTAAAAGCGGCGAAAAACTAAATTCACTCACTAACTCACCCACGAGCTCAATTATGTCCCTTGACTGCCAAGTATTCCTAGACACAATCTAACAATTTGAATGGTTGAATAACCTACCACTCCTGGGTCTGTAGCCCCCGAATAAATGAACACATGCATGTTCTAACCATGCCTGTCCTAGTCTTCTATTGTGCTTCTCCACATATATACTCCACCACCTCCCGTCTATCTTGGAGCCATTTCGTACAGATTGAAATAGCAAACCTATTAAATATTTATTATTCCTGCCGTCTCGAATAACCAAAGACATGAAATTCATATTTTGCACTGGTGCAACAAATTCTACATTTTCAAAGGTCAGGTCTTGACCTCATCGAAATGCAGAACTTTCACATAAATAAATGTTTACTTCAACATACTGCAGAACGAAATGAATTTCAATTGTACCAGGGGCCCGTTTCACAAAGCTCTCGTAATCCTAAGATCTCGTTACTTTTCTCGTATCATTCGTACCTCCTATACTGTAACATAGGAGGTACGAATGCTACGAGAAAAGTTACGAGATCTTAGGCTTACAAGAGCTTTGTGAAACGGGGCCCAGGACGATATGTTTATTTTACAATAAACATGACCCAGGAATAAGTATGACACGTGACATATTCTTACACTAAACATTTATTCATAAAACCGTTAATGAAACAATGCAGACATTGCAAAAAATAATATTTTTAGCAGTAAAATAACGTACAGTAAACTTCGGTTATTCGAACTTAAAGAAACCTCTAATTTTAGTTCGTCATAGCCGCAGTTCGTTATAAGCATTTTCCGCTGAAAAATAAATGCCTGATTTATCTGACGATGTCTAATTTGTCCACTGATGATGTCAGATATGTCTGCTATGTCTGATATATCTGATGGTGTCTGATTTGCCTGATATATCTGATGGTGTCTGATTTGTCTGATATATCTGATGGTGTCTGATTTGCCTGATATATCTGATGGTGACTGATTTGCCTGATATATCTGATGACGTCTGATTTGTCTAAGGTGTCTGATATGACTGATGATGTCTGTTATGACTGATATGACTGATGGTGATGATGTCTGATTTGTCTGCTGAAGTCTGTTGTGACTGAAATGTCTTTTTTGTCTGATAAAATCTAATTTGTTTGATGACAAATGATGTCTGTTATGACTGATATGTCTGATGATGTATGTTATGACTGATATGTCTGATGATGTCTGTTATGACTGATATGACTGATGATGTCTGTTATGGCTGATATGTCTGATGATGTCTGTTATGACTGATATGACTGATGATGTCTGTTATGACTGATATGACTGATGATGTCTGTTATGACTGATATGTCTGATGATGTCTGTTATGACTGATATGTCTGATGATGTCTGTTATGACTGATATGACTGATGATGTCTGTTATGACTGATATGTCTGATGATGTCTGTTATGACTGATATGATGTCTGTTGATGATGTCTGTTATGACTGATATGACTGATGATGTCTGTTATGACTGATATGTCTGATGATGTCTGTTATGACTGATGATGTCTGTTATGACTGATATGACTGATGATGTCTGTTATGACTGATATGACTGATGATGTCTGTTATGACTGATATGTCTGATATGTCTGATGATGTCTGTTATGACTGATATGTCTGATGATGTCTGTTATATCTTATATGACTGATGATGTCTTTTATGACTGATTATGTCTGTTATGACTGATATGACTGATGATGTCTGTTATGACTGATTATGTCTGTTATGACTGATATGTCTGATGATGTCTGTTATGACTGATATGTCTGATGATGTCTGTTATGACTGATATGACTGATGATGTCTGTTATGACTGATATGTCTGATGATGTCTGTTATGACTGATATGTCTGATGATGTCTGTTATGACTGATATGTCTGATGATGTCTGTTATGACTGATATGTCTGATGATGTCTGTTATGACTGATATGTCTGATGATGTCTGTTATGACTGATGATGTCTGATGATGTCTGTTATGACTGATATGTCTGATGATGTCTGTTATATCTTATATGACTGATGATGTCTGTTATGACTGATATGTCTGATGATGTCTGTTATGACTGATATGTCTGATGATGTCTGTTATGACTGATATGTCTGATGATGTCTGTTATGACTGATATGTCTGATGATGTCTGTTATGACTGATATGTCTGATGATGTCTGTTATGACTGTATGTCTGATGATGTCTGTTATATGTATGTCTGATGATGTCTGTTATGACTGATATGATGATGATGATGTCTGTTATGACTGATATGTCTGATGATGTCTGTTATGACTGATATGTCTGATGATGTCTGTTATGTGACTGATATGTCTGATGTCTGTCTGTTATGACTGATGATGTCTGATTATGTCTGTTATGACTGATATGACTGATGATGTCTGTTATGACTGATATGTCTGATGATGTCTGTTATGACTGATATGTCTGATGATGTCTGTTATGACTGATATGTCTGATGATGTCTGTTATGACTGATATGTCTGATGATGTCTGTTATGACTGATATGTCTGATGATGTCTGTTATGACTGATATGTCTGATGATGTCTGTTATGACTGATATGACTGATGATGTCTGTTATGACTGATATGTCTGATGATGTCTGTTATGACTGATATGTCTGATGATGTCTGTTATGACTGATATGTCTGATGATGTCTGTTATGACTGATATGTCTGATGATGTCTGTTATGACTGATATGTCTGATGATGTCTGTTATGACTGATATGACTGATGATGTCTGTTATGACTGATATGTCTGATGATGTCTGTTATGACTGATGATGTCTGTTATGACTGATATGTCTGATGATGTCTGTTATGACTGATATGTCTGATGATGTCTGTTATGACTGATATGACTGATGATGTCTGTTATGACTGATATGTCTGATGATGTCTGTTATGACTGATATGACTGATGATGTCTGTTATGACTGATATGTCTGATGATGTCTGTTATGACTGATATGACTGATGATGTCTGTTATGACTGATATGTCTGATGATGTCTGTTATGACTGATATGTCTGATGATGTCTGTTATGACTGATATGTCTGATGATGTCTGTTATGACTGATATGACTGATGATGTCTGTTATGACTGATATGTCTGATGATGTCTGTTATGACTGATATGTCTGATGATGTCTGTTATGACTGATATGACTGATGATGTCTGTTATGACTGATATGTCTGATGATGTCTGTTATGACTGATATGTCTGATGATGTCTGTTATGACTGATATGTCTGATGATGTCTGTTATGACTGATATGTCTGATGATGTCTGTTATGACTGATATGTCTGATGATGTCTGTTATGACTGATATGACTGATGATGTCTGTTATGACTGATATGTCTGATGATGTCTGTTATGACTGATATGTCTGATGATGTCTGTTATGATGATATGTGATATGTCTGATGATGTCTGTTATGACTATATGTCTGTTATGACTGTATGATGATGATGTCTGTTATGATGATATGTCTGATGATATGACTGATATGTCTGATGATGTCTGTTATGACTGATATGTCTGATGATGT